TACTTTATTTTGCCTCTGATTTGAAGCTAGATTTCTCTATAATTGTTACTCCAGTGATGCACTTCTAGACCTTTGGCTCTGAGCACTATTGATGAGTAGGGACTTTTTGATCTGCTCTATGCTACTGGTTGTTTTGGAAAGGGCACATGAGGTCATGTGAGGGTTAAGCATGTTAGTGAAGGTGTCTGAAAGATTTCCTCTCTCCACTTAGACACACCCACCCACTGACACACATTGTGCATGAACCCACAACTTGTCCTCTGGAATTTGTAGAGCTGTTTATAATGTTACAAAATGCACAAAATAGCTAAAGTGACCACATCTAATGAATATTCCTAGTTTGCATGTAAAGTACTGTGTTGCTGCTATTGCAATAGGAGGATCTTGCAAGTAAACAAGTGTGTGTTTCCTCTATTGCTTAAGGGGCATGTTCCTCACTGTACTGAGGCTGTCACTCCATTTTTGCTTAAAGATCTCTCTTACAATTTAAACAATATTCATGGGGACAGCAATGACTTGATAAAACAAGTAGATGTCAACTGCATCTATTTTACTACCTGTTTTGTAAAAGGCATCTTAACTTTGGCAAATACACACATGGGGATTCGGTACTGACTTAGAAAGAAATATTGGGAAGGTGTTTCATTCCCTGCAGTGATTGTTGGCTAGTTTTGGGGGTTTTTAATTACCCAGATTTATCAATAAGCACATTGGGGTTAATTTTGCACTGTGTCTTAAATCCTTAAATGGTAGATAGCCTCTTTATGGATGTACTTCTGAGGGCTTGTGTTTTGAGAGGTCTGGATTTGCTTTGTTTTGTTGTTTGTATGTGGGTGAGAGGGCTTCAAACTGAAACCTGTGAGGGAGCAACTGCTGCATTGTTTGATTTGCTTCTGCTTGGAGTAAATTAGATCTGTCCCCTCTCCCTCTGCCTGCCTACAGCTGAAATGTGTTCCAAAAGTTTATACACAATACTGTGAAGAGCAAAACTTTTCTTTAACAGAAAGCCATACAATTAGTCTTAGCTGATTTAGTGAGTCTGCATGTTTATCATCATCATGTCCACAAAGTATTTTTCAGATGTTTTTAATAAAATTAATTAGCCGTACTTTCTCATCCTGTATGTTAAATCAGAAAAAGCCAGACCACAATACATTTGTAAAGGAATTAGCTCAAAGATTGCTGAGTCCCTTAGAGTTTAGAGGATGGTGGTGCTGAACTTGTAATTGCAGTCACAAATCCAGGCCTTGCATGTAGAAGGATGTTAGCTTTGTAACATCACTGCACAAGGAAGGCTTGTGCTAAGGAAAGATGTCTTAAGATCTTCCCTGTTATTCATGCAGACTGATTGTAATTATTTCCTGCCATGTTCGTCAGAAGTGTTTCAGGGATTTGGTTCCTGAGATACTTTGGACTAATTACCTAGTAACCTACTGACCTGTTCACAATTAACTGCAGGAGCTGTTATTAACCTGTTTGCTTGATGAAGTGGCCAAAATGTTATTGATCTACATTTGCTCCAGCAGCAAGCAGAAAATACAAAGTAACATACTTCTGAGAAAGGAAGAAACATTACTCTGTAGAAGAGAATATTTAGTTTCTGCTGTTACAGTAGCTTAAAATGATGTGCAAAATCTTGGTGTGTAGTGTTTCTTCCTGCAAGTCATGAGGTTTGGTCCAGGTCCCCTTGGGCTTTTGTGAGAGCTAGAGCAGACTCAGGCACCTTAACAGGCATTTCTTGCTTTATGCTAACATTTCAGGTTAAATCAGTCACTACTAAAGAATTACATATGCAATCCAGTGCTTTATGAAACATACTGTAGAATTCAGTGTTTTTCATTAGCTTAAGCAATAAGGTAGCCTTGGTGCAGTGAGGTTTCTGTACATGAAGCTGTTAACAAGTGTTCTCAATTGTCCAGTCAAGCTGCAGTAAGATAGGTGTGGTATTTTAGATACTACTTTATATGTTCCATTGCTTAAATGTCAATATTTACAGTACCTAATGACATTTAATAAACTGTCCCTGCCAGTCTCGTTAAGAGCCAATTACATTCTTAAATACACTCATCTCGTTAAAGATGCTAATAAATGTGGGTTTACGTATTTGTGATTTCCTCATGTTTAATAGAACATAGTGTACTGTTTGGATAAACTGTAATATTTTAAAGGGAACTTATTCACTTAAATTATAATTAGACTAGAATCTGAGACCTTAAAATGCTTAGACAGTATGTTGTAAAATGTAGGTTGTGCCAAACAACTTAGTTCCTTGTTTTGAATTATTTCCCTTTTTTAAAAAAACTTCCATATTATTTACATCTCCTTTAGGTACTTATTGACAAGGGAACATCACTTTGAAGACCTGGCCCTATATATTTAAATATTCTTCTGGATGAAACATGAACCTAATGTCAGAAAAGTAGTCTCTTGAAAGTTAAAAACTGTCTATTCCTCCTTAGAGCTGGCAATAATAGAATCATAAAATCGTTTCGGTTGGAAAAAACCTCCAGGATCTTGGAGTCCAACCATTAACCCAGAACAGTCAAGTCCTAGTTTACTGCAATTACTGATGTGGGCTTTTACTGCAAATAGCTATTTTGTGCTTAGCTCTACACATACGAGTAATCACATGATTTCCACAGTAATAGTTGTGCAAGTATTGCTCAATTTCATGAGCAAAGTGAGATGGTCCATCTTCTGGTACTATTTTACTGCTCACATAGAGGAGAATTAAATCCTGGCTTGTTGGAAGTTCGTGAAAATATTGTCCCTCACATTCACCGAAGTCAGAGTTCAGGGGCTGCCTTTCATGCTGGGTGGCAGTAAGAAAGTCTGTAAGCTGAATAAATACAGGAGTTGGTTGAAGAAATTAAGATCAAGAAGCAACTTTATCCCTGTAGCAGTCAGAAGTTATTTCAGTGAATGAATACAGGAATTTTTTTTCGGTAGCAGCCCTTTTCTTTCGCTTTGCTGCACGATATTGTCTTTCTCTTTTTGGATTTTCCAATCCAGGCTCTTCTATGAACCTGTCACTACACCTTGTGGACACACCTTCTGTCTCAAATGTCTGGAGAGATGCCTGGATCACAACCCAAAATGTCCTCTGTGCAAGGAAGGGCTCTCAGAGGTAATGCTTGGATTTTCCCAGCATAAATTCAAGTGCAAGGGATAGGAACACCTTCACCTTCAGAAACACTTGATATTTCCCACTTGAAAGAAACATTGCATAACTTAGGAAGAATGTGACTTTTAAAACATTCTTGTGAGTTACAAAACATGGATAGTCTCTGTTCAAACCTTAGGACCAGACCTGTACTTAGACAATCTGTAAGTGATTTTACTTTCCAAATTTTCTAAGAAAATGTCTGTAATGTAGACAATAGTACAAGAAACAGCTCTTCAGTGGCAGAGTAAACTTAAAAGATGGTAGAATCACAGGCATCAGAAAATGGGGGTAACAGATGATTCCCTTTTCACAGCATATGATGCCTATGCTGGACATGATCTGTAACTGCTTGTGTGTGTTTGCTGCAGTGCTTGGCAATGAGGAAATACTGTAAAACTGTGCTCATGGAGGAGTTAATAGCCAGATATCTTCCAGAGGAACTCACCGAAAGAAGGAAGATTTACGAGGAGGAAATAGCAGAGCTTTCCAAGTATGTAATCCATTTATGTAAAATCCAGTCTCTAATTCTACTGCTCTTAGCTGTGAATGGCTCCTGCTGCTGTGCAACACAGGCTGAGATGCTGACAAAGGAGCTTCTTTCTTGGTATCATGTGATTTCAGAGAACAGGGTCCAGGTGAAAATGTGCTTGAATTAGCATAAAAATTGGACACTCTGCTAAACAATAAACAGAAGGAAAAGAAATCCAGAAGTTTGCTTTATAAACAAAGTATAAAGCAATGTGGTTGCTTTCAGTGGACCTCTATGAAAGGCATTGGGTGAGACAATAGGTGGAAGCAGTCTGACAGGATGGGGATTGGAATGTACTGGGTAGGGAAGAAATGGCATTAAGGAAAATAAAGTAAATAAAAGCAATAATAGAGATACAATTATGTTCTCGCTAGCAAAACCAGAAAGCATAATGAAAAATGCTTCTGCTATTAACTAGTATATAATTTTCTATAATATCTACTTAATTAAGGGGAAAATAATTTTGGTTTTTACTTACTCCATTAAGATTTTTTTCTAAAGACATTATCACTTCTATTTAAAGATATAATCATTTGAAAGGATATGTTACAACATATTTTGTACCCTGTGGTTTGGTAAAATGTCCTATCCGATATGTCCTTTTGTTCTTACAGCCTAAATAAGAATGTTCCTATATTTGTCTGCACAATGGCTTATCCCACAGTCCCATGTCCTTTGCACATCTTCGAGCCATGCTATCGCCTGATGATCCGGAGGTGCATGGAGACTGGCACCAAACAGTTTGGGATGTGCATCAGTGACCCCATAAAGGGGTGAGTGAACAGCATGCTTGGACCATGTGATATACCCACTTTGCCTAGAGAGGTGCAGGAAGGTCCATGGCTGTAAAATCTGTGGTAGTTTTCTAGTGGAGAGAGTTTCTTCCTAATTGTGCTGGTTGAAGGCATTGAGCAGACTAAAGTTTCTCTCTTGAGGACTTGGATTCTGACTAATATGATTGCCTGTTCTCTCAAAACACACATAGCTAATGTGTATCATACAAAGCTGAGCTGCAAAGCGCTTGTAATAAATGCAAGGGCAGGGTGTTTTCTACTGTTTTCAAATCTGCTGAATGCTTTGGCACAAGAAATCAAATTGAAATGGCAGTAAGGTGTGTTGGTGGGTTTAGTTTTTGTAATTATGAGATGTTTATATGCTTACTGTTATGAATATAGTGGAGGCTGTAAATGTATTACTGGACCTTCATAAGGACTGGCTGAGCATTTACATTGAGCCATTTACAGTCAGTCTTGGGTAACCTGACCTCAATGTCTGTGTCTGTGTTTAGCTTTTTTTCGTTCTTTTTATGGCATATACCCACTAGATATGTATATGCCATAAAAAGTATGATGTACACAAAATACCCACCTGCAAAGTAAAATCTGCTGAAATCATTCAAAAAGTTTTTCTGTTTAGATTTCCTAGTCCTTCCACAATTCTAACATTCTGAATTGCATTTGTTCTTCTGCACAAATTGACTGAACATATCAGGGTGATGGAGAAGGAATGGTTCTGAGCTGTGTAACTTTCAATTTCATAAGGTGTTCTCTGTATTCCAAAACATCCAGTTAGCATTAATCAGATTAGACAGCCTGAATCTTCCTGATAGTTTTGCAAACAATTGTGGAATAATTTGAACTACAGCAGGTCAGTACTATGAACAATAGAAATGAGCTGACATTGGTAAATACCTTTGTGGTAGGGACTGGCTGTATGGCAGCTCTGTGGAACTAAGAGTGGAGAGAATAAGACTTGTTTACTTGCTTTTGTTCTGATTTCAATAGGTTTGCAGATTATGGCTGCATTCTGGAGATAAGAAACGTTGAATTCTTTGCTGATGGTCGCTCTGTCGTAGACAGCATTGGCAAGAGGAGATTTAAGGTGATCCAGCACAGCCAACGTGATGGCTACAATACAGCAGATATTGAGTACATTGAGGATCAGAAGGTAAATTTAGAAATGCTTCATTTAAACTGTATTACGTGAGAAATTCTAAGCACATGCTTTCAGTGAGTTTTTTGTTGCAGATGTTTCTAGTAAAATAAATTTGTGGAGTTTACCAACTGCTCATGGTTAAGGTGCGAAACAGAATAATTACCACAACATGCACGCACTGCCCATGTACTAAAGACTGTGTTTCCTAGAGGTAGTTAGCAGTGGGCAAAACTAAGTGAATTCAGGATGAGATCTTACTGCGCTTCTAGACAGAATAACTGCAGTTTATAAGGGAGTGGGAGGGGAATCTGCCTCCATTTGCATGGAAGCCAGTTAGAAAACTCCTTTGGGTAAGAAGGAACTGGATTTGGGTCCACAATAACCTTCAATATTATGTACATTAATTTTTATTTTAAAAAATAATAGGTAGGCAGCCAAAGTATTCTGTGTGATATATGAGCTTTTGGTATGTAATAGGAAGATAAAATGCCTACTCTGAGGTATTACTAATTTTTTTTTTTAAAAAAAGCTTTGCATAATCATTTGTTCTATTGTATGATGTTTGTGTAAAGGCTTTTTCATATAGCAATCCAGAAAGTGTGTTCTGCAAATAGATGGCTTTGGTTTAGAATACAGGGAAAGAAAGTGAAGAATTTGATGGATGGGGGAGAGGGGCTGAAGGGGAAGACTAAATGAGCTTTCAGCATTTATCCCAGAACTCCCTTGGCATGTGTTTTCTTTTTCCTTTCCCCTACCCACCCCAGAAAAGCATAAAACTGCTGTGCCTTTTCCAACATGCAGACTGACCTAACAGTAACCTTCCCCCTCTCCTTATTCATTTCAGGTGCAAGGACAAGAATATGCTGCATTACTTGTTCTCCATGATTCTGTCTATGATCAGGCATATATGTGGTTTAACTCCCTCAAGCAAGCACTCAAAAGTCGAATTCTCAGTCATTTTGGTCCAATGCCAGCTAAGGATCCTGACCCACAGGTATCCAGAATCAGTAGCTTATATAACTTTTAGGGACAGAAATAGCAGGGATATCTGCTAAGCTGGCAGGCATTGTGTTTTAAGATGAAAATATGAATACTCTGAATTTATCCCACGTAAGCTGAGTCTCTGAATTCTGTTGCCATACTCCAGTGGTAGCACAATTGTGAACAAAAAGCTCATATTTGATGTTGATAATTTTCTGAGACTGCTTATCTGACTGTATTAATCCCAGGAGACTGAAATGCCTTTTTGTCTACTCTACTTACCCAATTAAATGACTGAGAGTAAACAGGCAAGAGGAAACTTGGTACTCTTGTTAAAAGGACTGCAAAAGGTGGGGGCCTAATATAGCAGTTTATAGTAACAGAAGCTAAATATGTAGTGTCATAGAGTATGGAGAAGGGAGGCAGGAATCCCAAAGAGCTGGGCAAATAGTAATGTGGGGAAAATTTTTAAACACCTAGAGGGCCCAGCCTATAAGATGTTGCTTGAAATAGAAATGCATTTTGCTTCTGCCTTCATCATCCTATTTTTGGCAAAGGTCCAACTTGGTTGTAATATGTTTCATAGAATTATAGAAGCATCAAGGTTGGAGGAGACATCTAAGACCATTGTGTCCAACCATTATCTGCCACTCTGCTGTAACCCCTAAACCATATCCTCCAGTGTCAGATCCAGATGCCTCTTAAACACTACCAGGGATGGTGACTCCACCACCTCCCTGGGCAATCTATTCCAGTGCCTGAACACCCTAACAGTAATCACAAGCCATTCAGTTGGCAGTGTGAAATGATCTGCTTGCTGAATTACTAGCAAAAATTCATTTTTAAAGTTAAATCTTCAAAACCAGGACCTTACCATTTATATGACTCCTGACTTGTGTTCTCTCCCCTCTGACTGCAGGCTAACCCTAATGGCCCAGCCTGGTGCTGGTGGGTCCTGGCTGTCCTTCCACTTGAGAACAGAGCTCAGCTGCCGTTCCTGGCCATGAAATCCCTCAAAGACCGCTTGAATGGCATCAGACGTGTCCTTACATTCATGTCTCGTACAAGATCACGGTGATGGTGAGGAGAGCTGTGAAGTCTCCCACAGTCCTTGACTGTAGACTGTCTCTTGTAACTTCATCTAACTGCAATAATGTCTTACAGATTTGAGTGTCAGGATGTTTCAAGCCTGAATTTCAAAGAGAATGAGTTATAAAGAGCAAGGGATGTTTATGGATACTTCAATAGTTTCCATTTGGAACTCTGAGATGATTGTTTAATCACTGCACTGCTAAATTAATAACAAATGTGATAGAACAAAAAGTGATCTTGTTTGCCATAAACCTTTTAAAAATCTTAAGGGTTTTTTTTAATTTATTTTATTTTTATTATTTTTTAGTGGATAAAGGATAAACTGTGCAGTTTAATGTGAAGCAGAAATAATAATGTTAATGCATTATTTCAGTGAACTGCAAAGTCTTTTATTCAAATGGTTCAGGTTTTATATAGCATTGTGTAAAATAATGTTCACAACTTCTGTTTGATAATTTATTTTTGCACTATGATTTTTTGTTTCAAAATGTATATTATTTATGTGTTCATTCGCTAAAGGAAAGTGAGCTGCTCTATTTATTTATAGTGTTTTTACCCTGTATTTATGACTGGGGGCAAAATGATGATTCTAGCAGTGCACAAGCAACTGCTTTAATAATTTTTCAGATATTTCTGTTCAAATATTTTGAATGTTTTTCTACTCATCCCCAGTTCTACTGTAGCTTAAGAAGGATTTTTTTTCC